AAAGAGTGAAAAATTGAAGGGGGTCTGAATACTTTCCGTACCCACTGTATATATATATATATATATATTAGCATTGTATTGTTACGTGTACTATAAAATAATAGTACACAAATAATAATTGTATTTTTAATACTCAGTTTTTAACTATTTTGTTTATTGTTTTTATTTTTTTAAAACTAACTCAATAAAGTGCAATAGTATTATTATTACTATTATTAATTAACTTTTTATAGTTATATTTAATGGGTCACACTGTGTGCAGACTGAAAAACTTATGTGCACCCCTGTGTATATGTATATAAATTAACACACATGTTGCAACAAGGCTTATATTTGTGAGTTATATTATATTTTTTAAATGAAGAGATTGGTTCCAAAACGCAATAAACGGCATTTTTTTTTTTTAAATTGAGTTTCTGCCAAATTCAGTATTGTATCTGGTTGGCATTGAAAAGTCCATTTTTAATTTTGTGCAAATTGCGATATCCGCCGTGTTATTCTGTCATGTTTTCTCCCTTTCTTTCCAAACCACGACAAACGCCAGTCTCCCTTCTCTGCAGAATGCGATACATCCGCTCAACCAATCACAGTGCACCACTCCACGCACTCTAGACAGTAATGGCGGCGCTTTGAATACACCCGGCATCCTAGTTTTCCTCATCTACTTTGTACTTTGTGATCAACAAACAAACAAAAAAATTAGGGCTGCAGGATAAATCGCATGTGATTGTCATGCGCATCTCGTCAGTAAAGCCGGTTCTGTGATTAGTAGTAAATCTCCATCACGTGCTTTCAGATGGAGCGGCATTTAATACACAGAGCTGTAGATCACTGACAAGCTATGCACTATCGCGTTCATAATCCCAGATGAATCACATTCGATTATGAACGCGATATTGTCAGTGTAAGTGCTTTTATTAATGCCATTAATGTTTTTGTTAATACAGCATATAGCACTAGTCAACTAAATGAATGTAACATGGCAAAGATGAATGCACTTTTGGAAGTTGAATGTAAGGGAAATGTCATTTTGAAATTTCTGTGGTCTAATGTGATATTGTTGTTCATGTTCTTGTTCATGATGAAATTTTCTTTTATTGCTGTAATTAATTTATAGCATTAACAAGATGAATTCATTTTGGGAGCGATGACTGATTGAATGTATTTTTAGTCCAGTGCCTGTATATAAGATTAGTATTGACCAAGTTCAGAGGCTGTCATATGTGGATCAACTTACTTTGTTGTGTATTTTCAACAGTTTCAATATGAAAAATAACTTTTATATTGATTCAATGGATTTATTGCATTTTGGAAAAAAAAAAAAAAAAAACGTGTCATGGATTTATTGTATTTTTTGGGGGAAAAAAATCAGTTTTTATAATAAATCTTTGAAAATCAAAATCTGGATTAGAATTTTTCATGTTATTATAACCTAAAGATGCTATGTGAAAGTTTGAAACAGAAATTAGTGGTTTTCATCTTGCCACTTTCTTGGTAAAGAAAACACAATTTTAACCAAATGGATTTATAGCGTTTTGGAACCAAACTCTTCAAAAATTATACAAGTTAATAGGCTATAGTGTGAAGTCTTAACTTTAAACAATTTCATGACTTTATACATATGGTAACTGAACTGCATAAAATGAGATAACTTTCACATAATTTGCACATGGATACTTAAAATACATATTGCTGTTTTTTTGAGAGAATCATTTAAATTAATTTCTGTGATAATTGACAAGGTGCCCCAAATGCTGTTGAAAGAGCTTGATATAACATATAGCACATAAAATCAATGACAACCATAAATTATCTTTCTCCCTCTCATTCCAAGAGTTCTGTGTGAGCAGGTTGGTGACCTTTGACCCTGAGCATTACCTGATTCGGCCACATCGACGATGGCCACGCCCTGCTCCTGAGCCATGAACCCCAGGACAGAGAAGATGGCAAAGCCTGACACAAAACTGGTACCGCTGTTCAGGCATCCGAGCAGCATGCAGTCCCTGAACACACACACAATATCTGTACAATAAATAGACAGCATATAAACATAAAAACATGCGAGTCCTTACCTGTAACAGTTATACTTGTACTTGTTGTAGCTTCCCAGTGATGTCATTGCACCAAGACAAATAGCATAAGAGAAAAAGATCTGAGTGCCTGCATCAATCCACACCTACATCAGTCCACAGAGACAGAGATTTCAGTTTGCTACATCACATTTCCATCAAATGCAAAACAACAATGCACAAAGATTTCTTTCTGTCTGTCTCAATACCTCGGGATCTTTTAGGCGGGTCAGATCGGGGTAAAGGTAAAACTTGATGCCCTCGGCAGCACCAGGCAGAGTCACACCGCGAACCAGCAGCACAATCAGCATGAGGAAAGGAAACGTCGCTGTGAAATAGACCACCTACAGACAGACCGAGAAGAGGCCAGAGGGGTTCGTGGATTTCCATTATGAATATAAAATAATTATACACCTACATAAAGCAAGCCATATTCACAAATGAAACCCACTGAGTACCACAAACTCTGAAAGGAAGGCTTGTGAATGTGCACACGCGCAGAATGGATTTCTGTGTAATTCGCTCATTCTTTCGTAAAGCGCTGCATTGAATTGAATGGTTTTACAAATGATTTACACACAAATCAGTTCTGCTCGTGTTTCATGAATGAGACTCAGTGTGTGTCTGCGATTATAATCCTACACAGTTTCTAGACTGAAAGAAATATCTATCTAGTGACATTTTCATGTGCACCACCAAAACGTATCTCTATCTATTTCATTTTAGTTGACTGTGTAAAGCCTTGGTTATCTTGGGATGTCTTATAACAGCTGTGACTTTTCACATGATGTGGCTATATTTTTAATTAGAAAAACTTGATTCTTTTAAAGACCCCGTAAAATCATTTTTTGTGGTTTCTAGTTAATGTCTATTAGCTTAGAGCTCATCTATACACTGCTGGTCAGTAAGAATATTTTTTTCTTGAAATAAATTCATACAAATTAAATTGATCAAAAGTGACATTAAAGACATTTATAATGTTACAAGAGATTTCTATTTTAAATAAATGCTGTTCTTTTGAACTATTTATTTATTTATTAGACAATCCTGAAAAGAAATGTATCACAGTTTCCACAAAAATAAAGCAGCACAACTGTTTTCAACGCTGATAATAATAAGAAAAGTCAAATCAGCATATCAGAATGATTTCTGAAGGATCATGTTTTAATGATGCTGACAATTCAGCTTTGCAGCACAGAAATCAATTACATTTTCAAATATATTCAAATAGAAAACAGGGATTTTAAATTGTAATAATATTTCAGAATATTTCCACTGTATTTTTACTGTATTTTTGATCAAATAAATTCAGCCTTGATGAGTAAAAGACACGTCTTTCAAAAATTCTACTGCTGACGCCAAATGGTCATGTATGCTAGTGTGCTTCAAAAAAAAAAAGGATCAAAATATATTTATTCTTATTATTCATCTTGCTTACTTCCTGTTACACTAGGCAATATAATATCATATAAATTATACAGTACTGTCATTAAAAATATCTGAATTTTTGTCGTTCTTAGCTACTTCTGTAATCAAACACATGGTCAAATTCAAAGAAACCAAGGAACTAGGACTAACTGAAAATCTTGACTTATGAATATTAATATGAAGTATTCATATCTGATTTATTGAAAGGCCAGCAACAACCACTTGGCTTCTGCTTGGTCATTTTATGCAGTCGGCTACATTTTTCACTATGGTCATAAAATATAATGACCATAATGTGGAGGAACAAACTTAGATATTCCTAAAAGTTTAATGGCTGTTACATCCCTGCTTATGACATTTTGGTGGACTTTTCTTATCCTCTCCCTCACCTTGCCGGTGGATTTGACTCCTTTCCAGATGCAGAAGAAGCAGATGATCCAGACGGCCAGCAGGCACAGCGCCAGCTCCCACTTCAGACTGCCGACCTCGTCGATCCCCGAAGAGATGCTGAGGACATTCCTCCTACACGCCAGATCAGAGTGATGAGAACGGGCGCAGAGCATCTGTCCCGCACACACTCCCATGCGCTCGATACTCACTCCCAGAATTCGGTGACCGGCGAGGTGAGGTTGGCTGCGTTGGTGGAGAGCCAGAGGGTTTTGTTCTTGCGGACGGTGTCCTCCACGCAGTTTGCGGTGTTCCAGCTGTGCCTGCAGCGAGCCCAGGGCAGCTCGTGCTGGAAACACTGCAGCAGGTAGTACAGACCCCACGCCAGGATCACGATGTAGTAGATGTTCAGCAGAGACACGATCATGATCGAGGCGTAGCCGATTCCTAAAGGATATACAGAACAATATGAAAGCAAAACTCACCCTATTTGCTTTCCTAAAATATAGTTCTGGTTTACTTTTATTATAATTATATATAAATGTATTTATATAAATTATTTTGTATCTAAATATATATAAATTATATCATATATAAATTTATTTACACTACCATTTAAAAGTTAGGTTTTTAAAAAAAAAATGTTTTTGAAAGAAATCTCTCATGCTCACCAAGGCTGCATCAAAAATAAAGTTCAATCATGACAACTCTCGGAACATTTTAGCATGGTGATGGATATGACAATGTTAATGTATTTAGTCTTGGCGGAACAGATCTGCTACGCTGCTGCTGAGTTGCTGCTGCTGTTGGTTATTGCGGCAGTTGTAGATTATTGCTGCTGCTGCAAGCAAGTACAGGAACTTGCTACTGCCAATGCATATGGCGATACGGTGCCGTGAGTATTTAAGACATGCTGCTGCTGCACAAATAGCATATAAAATAACCCCGTAGCAGATCTATATGGGTGGAGCTGGGGAAGGTGGAGGGTTTCAGAGAACTCGGAAAGCGCGCTGCAGGAATCTCAAGTGAATTCTAGCCAGCCATATAAATGCAAGGCAGTAAGCTCATTGGCTGCATATGCAGCATGAACCAATCAGCTTGTGCCAAGTCATTTAACTCTCTGAATATCATCAGTTACGTTAACACCCCATCAGAATGCGCCATCTAGAGTTTTATGACTGAACTATATATTAAAAACAAAAATATTATTACAATTTAAAATAACTGTTTTTTTATTTGAATATATTGTAAAATGTAATTTATTTCTGTGATGCAAAGCTGAATTTTCAGCATCATTACTCCAGTCTTCAGTGTCACATGATCCTCCAGAAACTATTCTAATATGCTGATTTGCTGCTCAACAAACATTTGAACAGTAATTCAAAACTTTTTAACAGTAGTTTGTAACTATATTGTAGTCTAAATAGTATATTTCAATATGTAAATAATAATAACTGTATCTAACATTAGCCAGGAGAAATAAATAAATAAATACTACTACGACAACCTGGAAAATTTGACCTTTATTCGCTTTCATTTTATGTATGTATTTGTTTGTTTGTTTATATATTTATCTATATTGTTTTATTTATTTTAAATTTCTTTTAATTTAAGTCTTTAATTTTGATTGATTTCTTGCTCGAGAGCCATTAAGTAATCATTATTCATATAATGTTCTCTCTTATAAAATATAAATGATTGTAGGCCTAAATGTCAACAGCACTGTTCAAAGAACTGACGTCTGTCCGGTAAAACATGAGCTCATTGATCTAATTCAATCAATCTGTCGTTACTCCTACTTCTTTAAATATTTAGTTTATATGTAGGGTTTTATGGATCAGCACTCAAATATTTAGTAGCGAAACAACTAACTTGCACACAGCTGGTGTAACCATACCCTGATAAATGAAATCAAGTCTCTCCCTGCATCGTATTTCCCCTTTAGAAATGTCAAATTATGGGTTGAATATCATTTCATAAATGATAAGACAAGCATCACTACTTGCACTGCATGTAACCTGTCGCTCTTTCTTTGTGTGACAGATATGAATGATACCTCAAATTATGCAGCTTGTTGACGAGAGGAGCCATATCTAAGCAGAGCGCAATGTGAGACTTTATGAGACAGAGAGCCGCTGTTCTCTCTGAGAGCCCTGCTGTGTGTTAATGAGTCAAGCACAGCTGAAGGGACTCTATTCTCAGAGCAGTGAAGCTTCACCTGTTTGCTGACACGTCTACGTCTGAAATTTTGGTGTTAACTTTTCTAGGGTTGAGGGCAGTCAAAGGGCAGAACACCAGTTTTATGCTATAATTAATACAAAGTGCCACAAGCTCGCTCGCCAGGAGCCGCTGTGACAGCTGACAACAGAATGCCAAACGTGCGTTTGAGGATGTAAGAACAGGACTTCACTGTAGATGCATGCACGTGTTCATGAGAGAATAGTCAGCTGTCGGTGAGACTAAGAATATAATCATTGGGTGAAAGGGGACAATGAGCTCACGCCGTCAGGAAATATCACACATCTGCACTGTATGTGCCAATTACAGCCCAGCCACGTGAGCGATGTGCCCGTGCAAGTGTGCATATAGAGGTCAGGAACCAAAATAATAAAAATATCTCCTAAGACAGGGCTTTTCAAAATGGGGCCTGGGGACTCCCAGGGGGTTGCAAGGGAGTGCTAGAGGGTCTATGGAAATGTTGAAAGAAAAGCAGTGTAAAAAATGTAAAAATAAATAAATAAAAATTGAATTAAACTAACTAAATTAATCAATTAATTAATTTGATTTAAATAAATAACAATAAATGAATATATTAATTCAATATATTGAAATAAATTGCTTAAATAAAAATGATTAAAATAAATAAAATTTGATTAAAATAAATAGAATAAATAAATGTTATAAAATAAATAAATAAATAAAATTATTTTATTTAATTGATTAAAATAAATACATTTAAAATAATTAAAGTAAATAAAATAATACAATTTGATTAATAAAAATATATAAAAATGACATTTTACTAACTAATAAGACTAAATAAAAAATATTAAAATAAATAAATACAATTTTACTTAAATAACATGAATAAACTTGATCAAATACATACAATTCGGTTTAAACAAAAATAAGAAAAGCAGTGTAAAAATGTACAAATAAATAAATAAAATAAGATTAAACTATCTAAAAAACTTAAAAAAACTAAAAATAAAATATATTTTTTAATAAAAGAAATGTAAAATAAAAAAAGATTATTAAAACAGTACAATTTAATAAATAAAAAATGTTGTATATTTTACACAGTATTAATCAGGTCTTTTTACATGAGAATATATAGCCGTTATATAAATTAAAAAAAATTACATTTGATTGAAATAAATGAATATTAAAATTATACCATTAATTAAAATTATTTGATTAAATAAGTAACTAAATAAATAAACAAAATCAGGTGATTAAAATAGATACATTTAAAGTTAATAAAATTCGATTTAAATAAAATAAATGATAAAAAATAAGTAAATAAAATGTGATTCAAATAAATAAAAATAAGAAATGCATTATAAACATTTTTAAATTAATACGATCAACTAATACAACTAATTAAATAAATAAATAGATTTAGCTAACATTAAAATAAAATACATTTTGATTTAAATAAATATGTAAAAATAAATAAATATAAGATTAATAAGATACTAACAAAATAAATTTGATTAAAAAAAAAAATTATATATATATATAAAATGTAATAAATAAAAAATATAATGTATATAGGGTCTTTCTACATGAAAATACAGCTGATTTTAAATTTTAGGATGGGGGTCCCTCGCATGAGGATGATCATATTTGTCCATACGCCTCCTGTCCTGTTGTTTCTCATCAAATTGCGGCTGCTTCTAACACAACCACTCCATTTTGGCTCCTGAGCTGAGAGGAGATACCATCCCAAGCATCTCAGTCACCTCTCACGGCTGTTGCCATGGAGATCAGAATACATGTCCAGAGCGGGGTGTTAGTCACAGCACAGAACACAGCGTCTTCTAGTGTTGCCTAGCAACCGCAGCACATGCTGAAAGCAGGTCAGAGTGAAGATGATTTAACAAGCCACTTCATCAGTAAATCAGACTCAAAGTGCATCACAGTAACGGCCATGCCGATTGGTCGATGTTGCCGTGAGGGACCACGAATAGCCGGTAGGGGGGATGGGAGCATTATGAAATATGATTTATGCTGATTAAAATGTGCTTGAGCCCAATGAGTCATTAAATACCATCAAAGTCAGACCTGTCTCATCCTCTCTCTTCACTCTCTCATCCATTTGTCTCACCAGTGAAAATGGGGCAGAGTTTCCCCCAGCAGGTGATTCCTCCCTCAGAGGTGAACTGGCCAAGTGCCACCTCCAGAAAGAAGACGGGCAAACCTCCACCAAACAGAAATATGAAGTAGGGGATGAGAAATGCACCTGGAAACACCAACACAAGATAAGGAAGGTGCACATAATACAGAAACCCAGCAAAGAAAACCACATTGAAGGAAGTGAAATTACCAGAAACACAACAAAAATTATACTTGCTGTAATGCAATTGCAATGGACATCACTACCTTGAAAAATAGTCCTACCACAAAAATGACAATTTATATAATTTTACAGCTTAATAATACAGATTTTTGTATAAAATAATTAAAGCGCTTTAACAAAAATACAAGCTTCTCATGTTTTGCATATTATGCAAAAATGATGGTAATATTATAGTGTATTAATAATATAACATGGTAATCAACAGTATATGTCACAGATGCTATTGAAAGTGTGTAACTGGTATTGAATCTGCAAGCAGTTTTGTTATTGTTAACTATTAAAAATCGTTTCTGATCATTGCAAAAGCTTAAATAAAATACAATAAAATATAAACACCAAATGAAAAACTTGAAAAAAAAAAAAAGTTGCCTTGGCAAATAACTAAAATAAAAGTAGAAAAATTGCTAAATAGAAATAAAATAATAAGAGCACATAACAAAATTTAAATAAAATTAAAACTGAAAATATAAAATAAAAGCTAATTCTAAATATTAAATACAATAGTGTATAAATAATACTAAATATAGTCTTATATTTAGTACTGATATAGTGTTAATATGATTGTTTTTATACAAATATTTATTAGCACAGAACAGAATACAATATATTAATATTTGAACTTGTAAATCATGCAGAAGGTCAAAATGTATTATAAAACACTGTTCTACCTTTTTAGAATAGGAATAGATTTGCACACAAAATTTGCAATGAGCTCAAAGGTTTTAAAGGGATAGTTCACCTAAAAATAAAAATTCTGTTGATAACCAAACAGTTGCAGGAAACTATTGACTTCCATGGTATTTTTTTATAGTATGGAATTCAATGGCGACCATCAACTTTTTGGTTACCGACATTCTTCAAAATATTGTCTTTTGTCTTCAACAGAAGAAAGAAACTCTTACAGTTTTGGAACAACTTGAGGGTGGGTAAATGATGACAGAAGTTTTATTTTTGGGTAAACTATCCCTTTAATGTCACAAGATTATGTTTGCATGTGACATTAGCAGCTATTTACAGCACACAAAGATTGAAGAGTGTTACCTCAAACATATTTTGTTGTCATATTACACATGTAAACACACTCACCTCCGCCATTCTTGTAGCAGAGGTACGGGAAACGCCAAACGTTGCCTAATCCGACGAAACCTCCGGCCACAGAGAGCACGAAATCCAGCTTGCTGGCCCATTTCTCCCGCTGTGGTGCTTTGCCCTCCGCCTCGTCTTCGGGACGTGTGCCGGGACTCTTACCGGGAGACGGCTTCAGCGTGTCCTTATGGAAATCTTTGAGACACTGCAACTTTTCCTTCTGTGCCATACTGAGAACGAGAGAGGAGAAGGGGTTGAGAATGATATACACTACCGATCAAATTGTTCAGCAAAGATGCATTAAATTAATAAAGTGAAAGCAAAGACATTTATAATGTTGCAAAATATTTCTATTTCATTAATGCAATTTTTTTAAACTTTATATTCATCAAAGAATTCTGAAAAAAAAAAAATTAAGCAGCACAACTGTTTAATAATAATAAATTAATAATTAATAACATTAATAATAAGAAGAAATGTTACTTAGATATTAGAATGATTTCTGAAGGATCATGTGACACTGAAGAATGGGGAGTAATGATGCTGAAAATTCATCTTTGCATCACAGAAATAAATTACATTTTAACATATATTAACATAGAAAACAGTTATTTTAAATTGTAATAATATTTCAAAATATTACAGTTTTTACTGTATTTTTCATCAAATAAATGCAGCCATGGTGACTTCTTTTAAAAACAGACCCCAAACATCTGAACAGTGGTGTATTATAGATGTCTATTTATATGTGTGACTGAGCTGTAAAACCGCCATGAAGACCCACGAGGATACGAAACAGAAAATCTGAGCTATAAAATCACATCCACTGAGATTATAATAAGCTGTTATATAAGACAGATCTAGAAGCAAGACTTCAAAAAATCAGCAAATCTCAATGCTGACTGCTTAAAGCTCATGCAACTCATGCAAAACATTCCTATGAATCATTTGAATAACACAGAAGCCTCAAAATTGAACATGTACACAACTATGTAAAGTGTGAATGATACAGACAGAAAGGAGATTCAGGCTGAGCAGGAAGCTGAGAAACAGTCTGATATCCTGTTTGAAACTTACACTGACAGCTCAAGCACTGATGCTGATAAACCAGCTCACTTCATTACATGTGTCCTAGTTGGCCAGAGCCCTTTTCTCTGTGTTTGAGGCAACGATTAGTTCTGTGAAAGAAAGCAAAACCAATGTTACACCATGTCTACACCGGACATTTCCTCTTTTGTTTTTTATCCGCCATCTCTATCTTTCTGTCGCTCGGCTCGGCTAATGTCCATCCTGTGCACTGAACGCTCTCTCCTCCACATCATGAGTAGACACGCCCCTTACTGCTGATTGGCTACAAGTTTGTTTTACTATTCGGCCCGAATCTGTTTTCTAAAGCGTTTTTGAAAAATTGCTTACCCCACCTTTAACATCTGCTTTTCTAGCCTTCTGATGAAGCCTGGACAGACACGGCAGGTTGTATTGCTCCTGTAAATCCTCAAATGTTTCTGTTTTGCATTTCTCTCTTTTAATTCTTTTCATAACAAATTGCATTGTCACCACAACAACTCGAATGCAAAGTTGAGCTGAAAATGCATGAATCTGAGAATGTCTTGGTATTTTCTTTGTCTCTCTTCTTTACACTACATGAACAAAACCTGCTGATCGTGTTCTCCAGCATGATTTGAGATGATCCTTATGATCACATATTGAGATGCAATTTACTTAAATTTGATCTGTGACTTAGAAATACTAATTATTCCCCAGCTAACGGAACATTCTGACAACTTTTTTTTAAAGTTATATAAATGTTCTCAAAACGTTCTTAAAGTAATGTTTATGGAACATTATTATAAATTTATTAATATTTGATATACGTTCTCATAACTTTGAGAGAAAACGTTCTGAGATCAACATTCTCGGAATATCCTTATGATGTTATTTGTACTTGAATGTTCTAAGAAACATTTTTGTAACCTTTAGATATGGTACTAATTACGACACGAAAACTGGACATTTTAATGTTCTTAAAAATAAACATTCAAATGATGCTATATTACGGGTGAAAATAAAGTTAGTAGAATGTTGAAATGTTAAGAAACTTTTTTTTTTGTAACCTTAAAAACATTCTAATCTTGACAAGAAAACTAGACATTTCAGCATTTTAGAAACTTTTCTAAACAATTTTTTGCCACACTTTTTATCATCTTAATTTGTCACCTGGGTCAATCTATGTTTCTCTGTTTAACATTTTTCAAAATTCCAAAACTTTGTTCCAAGTTTGAATTAGATGCTGAATCTTGAGCTCTTTCAACAATGAGCCATTAAATCACTAAAAATCCATCTTATCTCATCTGGAGAACAAGCAATGTGTCAATTTATTGTGAAATAACACTGATAAATGTGACAAGAAATGTGACTGATGTGTCCGGGTCACCAAAGAGTCAGAAAAGCTGAGTCGGAGTGCTAAACTCGTACTAGTCAAATGCCCTTGTGTCAGTGTTTTTGTGGCCATGAGCAAAGAAATATTGCAGGGTCACAACTCCGCTTATCTCATCCACCATCAGCCTCTTTCAAACTTGACCCCAGTAATGACCTTCTAAACATGCCCGGATCTCTCATTAGCCTTCATATAGACAAACACTGATAGCTCACTATCAACAAAAGCTATGTAAATGCATGTTTAATCAACCAATGTCGTAAACAGAAAAGAAAGAGCCAAGACAATGTATCAGAAGGCCACAACAACAGACAGCTGCAAAGGCACAATATGTAATTTTCACCGCTAGAGGGCGCTTATTCAAAATAAACAAATAGACAAAGGCGAAGTTTGATGACGCCGTGACTGAGTGTGGAATCAGGGGAGTTGTCGTCTTCATCCCCACAGCCGATAAAATCCGACGGGACTCGGGCAGAAATCATGTTCATGGATGAGCTAATGATTTATTAGCGTAGTAGTATGAAGCAGGGTGAGCCTGAAAGCCGTCGAAGCGAAACAAGGCCGCTGAACGAGCGTGACACACGGCTCAAAAGCAGCGGAGATTTTATTATGCCACAGTCGACCGCTTCCGCTCCTTCCGGTCGTGCGTATGTGGGGTAAAGCAGTGCTGTTTTATCATACTAGATACATTTGAAAGTTCTGTTATAATGCTACTCTGTGCGGTCGTCACCGGTCTAATAAAACGCACAACATATTAAAGCGTCTTTGGTGTTTCCATGTTTTCTACAAAACAAAACCGGAAATCGAGGGGTTATGACGTCATTGGCAGGCGACACAATGACACTATAGGCACGCTCCGTGTCACTAGTTAAAATTGCTTATTTCTCTGGATTTAAACATTCTTCGAAACATGTAATGTAAGTACACAAGTCAGCAAAAAATCTAACACTATAGTGGTTTTTGGATATTTTAATAAAAAAATCTTACATATTGTGCCTTTAACCTTGTCTGGATATTCAGCTGTGAAGGTTATAAATTACACTCCAACTATCAACTCTGAAACACAAATTGGATGTATTAAAATACATAGAGCATGTGGAATGGAGATAAAAAGATGGTCTAATGCTCCAATTATACTTAAAAGCCAACAAAGGAAAACACGTGAAGCAAATGGGATATTATAAACTGAAATGACAACATTTAATCTAACGCCATCATCTATAATGGAAGATCAGGTACTCTAATGTCACGCTAATGTCTGGCTATCCAAACAATAATTCATCTTTAAAAGTATAGAGTGGAAAAACTATGCCAACTTTGTAGGGGTTACAAGGTTAGGGATTAAAAAACAATGCAATGATATTACAGTATTTTTGGTCACATTTTACTACATATTGTTGTAATACCATGGTATTTTTTGAAGTACATGAATATGGAAAAGGGATACAAATATGCTCTTATGTTCCAGTTATACTTAAAAGCCAATAAAGGAAAACTCTTAAAGCAAATGGGATATTATAAACTGAAATGACAACATTTAATCTAAAGCGATCATCTATAATGTAAGATCAGATGTTAGTTCATTGTTGTCTGGTCATTCAAAAATGATCTTTAAAAGTAAGAGTAGAAAACTTTGCACAATAGAATATCAGTAAAGGTTAAGGATCAAAAAGAATCAGTTTTATTATGGTGCAATGATATTGCAGTATTTGTGTGTGTGTGATATTTTACCACATATCATTGTAATGCATGGTATTCTTTGAAGTAGCCTACATGAATATCATAACCCATGCTAACAGGTAACATTCACATAACTTGTACTAATATTTTTTAAATGTTAGGACAAAACATTCTTAAAATAATGTTTATGGAACGTTCTTTTAACATTATTAATATTTGATATACTTTCTCATTATGTTGAGAGAAAACATTCTGAAAAATAAAAATGGATGTTTTAAACATTGAGAGATTATTGCAATGTAACGTTCCCATAACGTTTTCAAAATGAAAGTTTCTAAAGTTCACATAACCAAGAAATGTTCTTAATTAATTAAAAACTGGACATTTAGAATGTTAAAAAAAAAAATAGAGAAAAGCCATTTTCATAATGTTTTCAAAATAATAAAATGGAATGTTCCTCTACTGTTTGCACAACCAAGAAGAAACGTTCTTAATAAATGTTAAAAAAAGTGTTTCGAACGTTTAAAAAAACGTTCAGAAATAACATAGTTTCAAAAATGGCTGTTTTAAATGTTGCGCGAATATTTGAGCATTCTCGTAACATTTTAAGAATGATAGAATGGAATGTTCCTCTAATGTTCACATAACCAAGAAGCAGCATTCTTAATAATAATTAAAAAAAACTGGATGTTTTGAACGTTTAATAACGTTTTCATAGCTTAATGAAAACATTAGCAAAAAGTTCTTAGAAATTTAATAGCTGTGAATCAAGCGTACACTCTAAAAAATGCTGGGTTAAATACAACCCAGT